TATTTTTTGCTTCGCATCTCTACGTCAAAAATTCTAACTTATCTATTATTGCATTCGATACATTTTGAGTATTCCAAAATTGAGATATTATAACCTAAAAACATTGCTATATTTTATTTATTTATTTTAGAGAGACCTCACGAGTGAGTGAGACCTCACGAACGTACCCGAACAATTTTGATTTTTACGCAAACACACTTTCGTATCCTTGTTTGCTGGAAAGGGGGTTATTGTAGTGACCCCACATATATTTGAATTCGCCTACATTTTATCAGGTCAAACCTTTCGGTTAATTTATTTAACCAGGCCATTTGTAAAACAATATCTCATATGTAACATTGGCTCTTATTATTGTGTGGTTTGTATGAATTAGTATGACTGAAAATTGTATACACCTACGCACATATTCATCCTATTCACTTTAATATTAATCTCTTACATATCACGATGACTCAGATATCTTCCTTTGTATATATACGAACATTTTTATCGTATTAATTCATTCGCCCATTCGCACATTCACTCGCTAGTATGTCTGTCCGGTCTCCTTGTGGTCTGCCATCCCTGTTTGTGGTGTACCGAAATAAACGTATTCAACCCTTCGAGTTTATCTTCTGATTTATAACCGTCAGACGCCATTTAGTAACGATTGTCTGGACGAGCTAATTACTAAGATTAAGAACACGTAGAAATTGGTCACCACAAAACGGGTATACCAAATGATCATATTCAGCCTTCAAATACCATACGGGCAGAATAACGTGATTCCACACGTTGTGAACAAATAGGTGAAATCCACACTTAGTCACTTGTAAAATATCTGAACAGAAAGGTGTCGCACCTATCAAATGTGGTTAGTCTCATAGCACTACTGATATCAGGACGAGTCATTCAACATTGTATCCGATTCGAAAATATGAGCACTCCTGAGGTCATCACCTCATACCGATAACTCAGATGGGAATAACAACGTTGAAGTCCCCTGGTTGTTACTCTGTACGTGATCCTCCAAATGAGGATTGGCTATCATAGTCTTACGAAAGTCAGAACTTGATGGCCTACTGAATGTGAATAACACTTGCTTACTTGTCGCCAAGTCCAAATGGATTCTTGCTTTCCATTTCGCTTCCGAATATCGCTTCAGGACGCTACAACCGATCGCAGTTCTTACTTGGCATTGAGAAACAGATGCAGTACCAAAGTTCGAAGCGACAGGAGACAATTTCAGATGAAGCTAGCCGCCAAAATACAGGCAAACCCGAAAAATCTGTTTAGGTTCATGTCCAAAAGAAAAACTACTAATCAAGTGTTGTGTTCTCTAAAAGGACCAAACGGGGAAGACCTCACCAACCTAGAGATGGCCGAGATCTTCGACAGCAACTTTTCTGATCAGTTAAACCAGTCGCCTACGTGTTCAGAGTACTACGCCAACCCATTGCCAGCTGACGGCTTCGAAAACATCCGTATCACTCCAGACTTAGTACTGAGGAAACTGAAATCCTTACGCCCATGTAAGTCACCAGGTTGTGACAAAATTCGCCCCATAGTCTTGCAACAATGTGCAGAAGTCCTCTGTTCACCGATATGCGACCTGCTCAGGCATTCACTGGAGTCACACCAACTCCCAGCTGAGTGGAAACAAGCTACTCTCTCTCCAATCTTCAGAGGAGGAGATAGAAAGCACCCAGCCTGTTACAGACCAGTCGCAGTACTACCAATATTATCAAAGGTTACAGAAAGACTAGTGGACTAACAAATGAGGGAGTACATGGAAAAGAATAAAATACTCCATGAAGCTCAACACGGGTTTCGGAAACGCAAGTCGTGTGCATCTAATCTTCTCACAGAATGGGACAATTGTATTAAATTTGTAATTACTCTTGCAGTTCGCCTTTAACTCGAAAAGTGCAGGTCCATACGCATCTCACCCAGTCCAAGACCAAAACACGATAATTCTGGGAGAAAATGGTTCTATTTTAGTTAAGAAAGAGAAATACAGACAATTACCAAAAACAATATTACACCTTCGAGTTTACAATTACCACAATGGGTTCCATTTCTGGAAGAATAAGTGCTTCCAGCCCGTTACTGCTAGAGTATCAATCCAAATATGGCTGTAGCAATATTAAATATTAAATTTAAACAACACATGTACAGTTCAGAAACATAAAAACTTCAATATAAGTACAAAATATAGAAATAATAACAATATACGATGATAAAATCTCAAAATGGAATCAAATAAAGTACCAAAGTATCAACAGAAAGAGTCAATCATAACGCAAATATATATATATATATATATATATATATATATATACATGGAGGGATTTTCCAGAAACAGAACCTACAAAATAGATTCTACACCGGCCTGAAAAAATCTCTCATCGAAAAACATGTCCTTTCTGACACTTCAATTTAGAGTTCACTCGCATCCAATAATCCACACCAGAAGAACGAGTAGGACTTACAGCAGTACGCCTACCCGCCATCCAACATGGATATGACCTATCAAGCTAACTAGGTACCTGTACCTTACCATCAAGCCCTTGATTCCCCTATCTATCGTAGCATGACCTAACGGTAGTATAAACATCATCCAATTAACCCATATAAACATGTATAACACGTCGTTAAGCTGGTCATATCCTATCCGGGATCTACATCCCATATCATGGGGATGAGTCGTCAATCCACAACCACTTGCTCCGAACGGCAGATACAATGAAGTCCGTGATGCTGACTTATCAACAGAAGTTCTTGACCCATAGATAATATGCAAGGGTGGGATCTCCAATTTCGACATTTCCTCGTCTCCCGAAGACTTTAAGTGGCACAACATGGGACCAATATTTATCTCTCCATCTCCTGATACAGAGGAGGTGTGATCAGCATTCGTCATCGCCGGCAACTTATTTGTCACATCAGTAACATCCAGATTATTATCATCGTCATCATAATTCCGTTCTGTCAGACAAGTCACGATGTTTCTGGCTACACTAGCATCCGTAGAGTGAAACTCTTCCATTGTTGCGTAACTCATCTCCCTACATAAAAGAACAGCATTAGTATCGCAATTCAAAACTGATAAACTCACTTGTTGTTCTCCATGTTCCGTTTCAGAGACACAAGACATATGCACATCAATAGTATCGTTATCATACAACACTGTAGACTGGCTGTTACCATCAGACACTTTTTTCTCATCATCACTCGACTGACAGTCAACCGAAGTAGGAACAGTTACAGTTGCACAACCTTGTGCATCCTCAATCAACTTAACATTTGCGACAAGGCTCGATGACGTCAAAACACTAGAAGGTTCATTTGATGAAGTAGATCGACTAGTTACTATAGGTGGATTGCTCACACTTTCTGTCTCTCTACTATCGCTGCCACTACTACGATACTGAAGACTACTATCTCCATTGCTAGTCACAGCATCCGAAAGAGAGCGAAGTTTACGTTTCATAATAATGGTAGCATCATGTCGTTTCTTATGCTTCTCACCTTGGGTAGCAGTATGTAAGCGTAACGTACGCCCACTTCGATGTTGATGAGTGTCTTTCGATGACCTTCGACCACTATTACCCGCAGGAGTACTATCAATACTAGTATCATTAGTAGCCGCAGCTGTACAATTAGCAGTCATCTTCCCATGACATCCAAACTACTCAAGCACAGTGTCCAACTCTACTCGATCAACATTGCTTTCCTTACTGGGAATGCTCTTAACCTCTTCTGTCTTATCACTGTTGGTAGTGCTCGTCACGATACTTGTAGTACAAGTCAATGATGGTGGAGTGCGACAGGTGGACGATTCCATGCTCGATTCCTCAGGCTGCATATTCAACACAACAGCATCTCCATTAAACCTAGAAGACTCCTCATTGCACCTAGGGCACTGAATGTTAGCCCTCTCAGTAGTGCCATCACTGTGGCTGACGCTATTGCCACCGACGCCTACATTCTCCACACTCAAACATCCGAATTCGTCTTGAACCGAAGTACTCGAAGAAGCTACATTAGCAAGAGCAACCGAAGAAACTGCACTACCTATAGTGACTCCATTCTCGTTACCGTCTATCGATCGAGTGTAGAGACTAGCAACCAAATGGGTGATAGGGTTGAAAAATAAACCCCACGACGATAGACTCCAGCTCTTGGGATTATTTCCAATGAGCTACAGGAGAATCAGAGGTGATCTGATTATGGCGTACACCATATTAAACACGCCAAACCATCCCAATGTGAGCATCTTACCGATGCATCACCACCACTTCCCTCGAGGCAATCCTCGAAAATTGCACATCAGAGAGCGAATACTCAGAATCGTGCACACTTTTTCTCATTGCGAGTCGTCGCAACTTGGAATGCTCACCCAGCCCAGATGACTACAACCCCCTCAGTGGACAGCATTAAGAAGAGACTTTGGAATCATATACTCACCTACGGATTTTCATCTCCCTCTTGGACAAGCTGTTCATGATGCATATCTTGAGACCTGCTAGTTGTTATCATTGCCATCTCCTCAGATCACTTAACCTATCTCGCCTATTATCTTTGTTTCCTCTCCCTTGCTTACACTACGGTCCTCTCTCACAATCTTCACCACTAATTAACAAACTAAATTCATCTATACATTACTCAGTTCTGAAATTTTATTCATATTAGCATTAGAACTTTATCCTTATTACTCTCCACATTGCAACTAACTGATCTCCGGTTTGGTAATGTGACGGCTGATGGTATCCAGAAACCCTACCGCCCTGAAACAAACGTTTCATTCAAATCCCGAGACATACAAACTCACAAGCAACTGCCAACTGACTAGAATTAGACAGTTGAGTGGCTAGACCTCCATCTATTGGACATTACCGAACACCTGGAACCGTACCGAAAGAACAAGAATCGAGCGCGATGAAATCAAATTGGTTTACACTAGCTCGTGAAAAAGATATTAGATATTGGAATACAACAACATGCTAATGTTTAAGTAACTCACTTATTATGAATGGGCTTATAGATAAGTTTGTTAACTAAACCACGAGTTTTATTGGAACGATAGTATGATGAAAAAATAAAAATGGAAGTTAGAGACTTAGTGAGGTAGACGACTGAAACAATAAAAGTAACTGCTTCATATTTCATGATTTATGCTAAATTAGAAGTGCACAAAAATCACAATGTTATACTTTTGGAATGGGATATAATCTATGGTAATAATAATATAGTAATAGTAATTTACAATACTCCGAGATTGATTACAATGACTTTTACAGCATAGGTACACAAATCTAACGAGAATGAAGCACAATCATGTTCAAGATAAAGTACGTATGAAAAGGTAAAAATGATCGGTGAGCAAAATCTACATTGGTAGGGGATTTTAAAACCAAAATGTTGTAGCCCGATTTTGAGTCAGCGTTCGTAAAGGGAAAACATCTGTTTGTCTGAATGTGTGTATGCCTGCCTGTCTTTAACCTGTATGCAAATATTTGACTGTGCCCACTTACTAGTACACATAACATACAAAATGCTCTATGAACAATAATAATAGCACTTTTGATAATTTGGAAATGGATATTGTATGCGTGTCAACCCTGAGAAGTCTAGCTAAAAATTGAGAAACAGTTTGGAAGGATATCAAAATGATAAAGAAAACATTATCACTGAAAAAGGTCATTCAAATTAGTCACGAATGTTTCTCTTGATGACGGAAATGAGCAACGTAAGCACGGGACGTCTTCACTGTTGAGACCACAGCTTATAAAATCGAGTTGTGCTCCAGTAGTATGTCGCTCCTCATAATTACCTTCATGGTCAGCTTCATAATTTGCTACAAAATCCACTTCGAAAATTACAGAGGTACCAGAAAAGACATTGTTATCCGAAACGTGGTTTTTAATCCCTTCAGTTAAGTTCGATAAATCATTAATCGAACTTAGCTCATCTAGCTGATGATGACGTCGGCGACGACGCTTAGCAGCTTTCACGTCTGAACTTTGGACTGAAATAGATTTTCGACACCTCACAGGAGTCGATCTTGCATCTGAAGCTTCAGTATGTCTATCAGGTTTACCATTTTCATCGTCGGCTGATTTAGGTAAAGAGGAAGAGCAGTAACTAGAGTTCTCCTGTAAAAGTAGTGTGTCCCTGAATGTCGGATGACCTGAAACAAAAAATAACTGATTACCTGATATGGCAACTATGAGGAACTTCTTTGGATGAAAGGACAAGTGAAGTATTTTACGTTGACAGTGTATCTGATGCATTCCAGGGATATTTGGTATCTGTGTTTGAGATTCTTCAATGAAACTTGGCAATTCAGGGTCATCAACTGAACTCGGTACAGTGTGTAGAAAACTAACCCCAAGGTCACTTTCGTCTATCCTGTGATGTGAACAATGCTCCTTGTGATGACGATGTTTACTATTTTGGTGACAACTACTGGACCTTTCATGACAAAATTGTACAGGAGTGTGAGAATCAGCAGAATTAGTGGTTCGTGAAGGAAGAATTTGCTTCCGACGCTTTGAACCTGCTGGCGATGAGGAAGTCTTTCCGGAAGGGCTCCGACCTTCAGCTTCACAGTTCAGCAGCTTTGTTTTGTCAGGTGACAACTTTAATATGTTCGAACTGTCACCAAATTTATTCCAATCACTATCATTGTAGTTGGAATCTGAACTAGTCTGACTTGTAGTTTCTGCAAAGAGAGACTCCACAGCAGCCAATGACGCTACAAAAATTGAAGACAAACCGAGCCGACTTCCGAAAGAATCATCAGGAGACATAAAACGTTTAGGCAATAAGTAGTCTGCAGTATCGTAAGCAGAGTTATTATTATAATGATTGTTCAAGTCATCGAGGTCATACAACCAATCAGAGCCATTGTGACGATCAAATATATGGAAGAGGTGGCTGTAAGATCCTGTTATTGCATACCTGTGTATGAAAAGTAAAGAACATTGCACGACAAGAATGTCAGTTTCAGGGTTTCAAAGCACCGACTACGGCAAATGTATTGCATCTTAAAAACTTAACGTCTATATCAATGCCGAAATCTCACAATGAAACATTTCCCATTGTAGACTCACTAGTAGGACATTTATGAATCACAACTCCTAATCAGAGGAAACATAGCCTAAAGCCCATGAGAATCAGGCTTCCAAATAGTCATATATCATCTCAGTAAAAGAGCGTGATAGTGCGAACGTTAACAGTCAACCTGGTATCAGGTTTCGTTGTACTGTAAAACATCAATCGATCATTATATTTTCATAATGAAGGAGTATGAATTTATTTCCATCGCACTAATATCCACTGCTAAAGCAAGTGGTCTGTTGTAAAGTCAACAATATACCTCAACCATCTTATTTCATTGACGTTTCAGTCAATTAAATACAACTTCGAACCTGACATACGTGTGCATCGGCATAAGTTGTCGTGTAGCATAAATACAGTGAGATAACACTATTCGAAACGAAAATGTACACAATCAAATATGATGATGGGTGTTGCAGTTTCTAATCATTCAGGCTCACAGAGATAACGTTTATCCATAAGTTCTACAACGAAGACACTGAGAGCATCAATCAACGTCTGCTCTACAAAACTGTGTTAAGGCTCTTACCCGAAAACTTTATTATATATAAACCAGTTGCTCATCATTGAAGTGAAATGATATACATGGATATACACTGGACAAAACCCTGAAGTTAATTCAACTAGTCGTTTGTTCTTCACTGCAGATAAATCATCATCATACTATTCACGCAAGGATTCAATGAACTGCAAGTACTTGGTTAGTCTGTAGGCATGAAATAATCCTAGTTGATTGTTTAAGTGGTCATTTAATTTTCACCGAACGAAATAACAGAAAGTGTATATTTTCAAAGTTTACCTGTCATCATCAGACCATCCACATAAGAATTTATCGAAAATAGCATCATTCTCGTATAACATACAAAGTTGTGAACGGAATGGCTCATGAACTGAATAAATTTCACACGGTCGATCGCCCATTCTCATATCCCAAACTAAGGTAGGAAAATGTTTAAGATAAACAATAGGTGACAAAAATAAATAAATAAATACACAAAGTATTTCTAGGTCTCAGAAAAGCATAATGATAATAGGTAGGTTCATGTACAGAAGCTGGACATGAGCCAGCATCCTGATATGGACAGGTGGTAACCCATAACTCTACAAAATATTCAAGGAGGACTGACGAAATCGCGTGTGTATACCTATCACCAACGTGAAATCTTTTTTTAGCTCAACTACGGTTGAATGGAGAAACTAGGAATTACTATCATCACATTTCTACGGAACGATTGTCATAATTCTGTAAAATATTACATGAGTATAAAAATAATAGTGACGATTAATGAAAACCCTTAGATTCGATTTTCTCATAGTCCAGATTATTACTACACGTGAAGACTAAGTATTAAATTACCATAAGCCAACCAATTGCAACTAAATGAGTAGAGTTATCATTTATCTAGATGATTGACTAACCGTCGGAAATGTTATTTACAAGCCATCTAACCATTCAAGCCTCAAAATAGCGACAAGTGCTGTGAATGACTTTGTATGCTCAGGGTACAATCAGTCAGTCAGTTGCAACGTAGAACTTCGTACGTACGTACACCAGTTCAGGTTGCCAGACCGCATTAGCTCGAGACGCAACTGTCAGTTCAATACAATAGTGGTGGCGACAATAGAAATATTAGCAGTAATGCGAAAGATTAGGGTTCGAAGATATGATAAGAGAAGCATAATTCAGTGCGATAACTTTAGAAAGAGAGAGAATTTGAGAGGACACAAAAAGTGAATGCATATGCGCCACTACAAACGATTTTCAGACTTAACGTTCAAGCTCTCTAACAATCGATGACTTTCGTCTCGTGGACCCCAAACAGAAAGCCTGCATCTACCAACATGACTCAAGTCACTTGTCAGTTAGTTCATCGATTTCTACCATGTTTTGATCTGGTCGCCCCTAGCTTTCTTCGAACCTACTATTACAAAAGAAAACATAGCTCGCTAGGGCAGTCAGTGGCTGCGCATACGCGACACATGACAGAACCACCTCAACTGTTTCGATACGCCGTCAATTGATCTGCAACCCGTAACTAGTACTCGTTTTCAAACGACATCACAGATTATTCGGCTGTCCAAAACTATACAACCAATGCTTCTGGGACCAAAGATCGAAGACAAGCAATCTACGAATGTCCTCAACTCTCAGCGGTCAAGTTTCGCATCCGTGGAGTAGGATGAAACGAACTACTGCATAGTACACTCGTCCATTGGTTACCAAAGTGATATCTCGATTGCGTCATAAGTGACGCAGGTTGGCAAAAGCCAATCGAGCCTTCTGTATCTGTGCTGAGATTTCGTCAGTCACCAGGTCATCGGCACTCATGAGACTCCCAAGGTAAGTGAAGCGGTCGACACGCCCGACTACTTCACTCCCTATCACTAGTTCAGGTACCGACACAAGCAGATCTTGAAGCAACATTTTGCATTTCGAGGGGGAAAACCGCATCCCGAACATGCTTGCATTGTTGCTCAAGGTGGTCAGAAAACTCTGCATTTTGTCAGCGTCTTCAACGAATAGAACTATGTCATCGGCATATTCTAAGTCAACAACCGATTTTCCTAGTAGAAGGTCCACGCCTGAAAAATTTGACGAGGATAATGTTAACTCTAAAAGCATGTCTATGACAAAGTTAAGCAAGAATGGAGAGAGCGGACAGCCCTGACGGACACCACTTGAAGCAGAGAATCTTAATGACAGTTCACCATAAGCTCTTACTCGACCAATGGTGTTCGAGTAGAGAGCCTGTATAAGGTATGTACTTTTTTTGGTACACCTTTCAACGACAGACACTGCCACGGAACCTAACGTCGACTTGCCACTCAGGATGAATGGAGATTGTGGTCAAGCGAAGTGTGGCTGAAGGCCAATTGAACTGATCCCTGAAGTGTTCTGCCCATCGATCCAATCTCCTGGATTGCGAATGAATAATTAGACCATCCTTTTCCGAGATATTTTCACGCACGTTCGGGTTCCTAATACCGCTTTCCATGATAAGTCGGAACAACTGCCTACTGTTACCTATCACCGCTGCCTTTTTCATCGCCCTTGCTTTCGCCGCCCATCACTGTTCGCAACCGTTGCGGAGGCTTTTTATCAACCTGCGCCTAGGCTGACTTCACTCTTCATCATGTTTAGAGCCAGTCAGGGTGGGTTTTTGAGCATTCATCAGTTCGGTAAATGCTAGTGAGATACAACGGCTTCTTTTTAACCTTGTGATTTACCTTACTAGCAGATATCACTGCTGTTTTCACAGCCTTCTGGATAACATTGCAAACTGCCTCGGGATAGGCATCGCTTACTACCATGGCCGCCTGTTTTTCTGGTTGTTCCTAAAATTTATTCTTAGCTTTATTATCATTAAGTAGAATCCAAAAGTTTGTTATTTTCGTGTCTTTACTACGTCCAGTAAGCCTCAAACCAATATGCACTCCAGCGATGGGATAACTTTGGGGGTTTCCAGGTCAAAAGACGATTTTCCTTATTCTAAAGTCAGTGTTTGCTAGAAATGGGCGGTTATCTGAGCACAGCTGCAGCAGACGGTCGCCCCTATCTGTTTGATCAGCCACGGCAACATAACATCTACCCAGATGTCTTTCCTTTTCACCTTGTCTACCTACTTGAGCATTAAAGTCACCAGCCATTATTACTATATCAGAGTGACTACCTTAACTCACAGATTTCTGTCTCCTGCGGTAAGGGCTTTAAAAAAATAGCGGATGTAATACTCTGAAAGCTTCTCATGAAAAGGCCGTGCGTGACCAGCCTTTGGACTCTGTGGTCACGCTCCCTGGTCGTTAAGACCAACATTAATCTACCTTCCTTTTCAGGTTCCGCAAGAAACACCTTCCCACGGTGTGAACGGCCGGGAAGTGACATCCGACCTCATACACGTAACAGCACACGAGATCAAATTGGTCAAAATCAAGTCCTTCCTTCACCCCCTAATATCTCTCTTATCTCCACGACAAACTCCCACATTCCTTTATCAACCTACACCGTTAATGCGAACGATGCGAGTTTACGAAACGTTATTCCTGGTCTCCTGAAACCCCGTTCTAAACCACATGTTGGAGCATTTAATATACGGACATTGTGTCAAATATGACAACAGGATTCACTAGCTAGAACTTTAGAATCTCGTGCGGCCGATGTATGCTGCGTCTCGGAAACGCGCATACAGGATCCGAGTAGCATCATTCATTTGACCTCACCATGTCAAAATAAGGAAGCAACTCGATTTACTCATCGTGTATCTGGTAGCCCTGATGTTGCTTCTCAGGGTCTCGTTAGCGTAGGTATAGCATTGAGTCCTAGGGCAGAAGTAGCTCTCTTCGACTGGATCCCAGTAGATAGTCTCTTTTGCACTGTCTGACTGATCGGGACAGTAAGGATTAAGAAAGATTGTGACAGGCGCCGTTGCCTCTTCTTTGTATCTGCTTACTCTCCGACTGACTGCAATTCAGACGAGGTGAAAGACGAGTTTTACAGAAAGCTTTCCGATCTCCTCGAAATGCAAAATGTTGCCTCAGGATTGGCTTGTATCTGCACCTGAACTAAAGATAGGGAGTGAAGTAGTTGAACGTGTAGACCGCTTCACTTATATCGGGAGTCTCATCAGTGCTGATGGCCTGATGACTGACGAAATCTCGGCACGGATACAGAAAGCTAATGCTTTTACTATCTCTACCACTATGTGATTTGAACTGACAATTGCGTTTCTGTGCTAATGTGGTATGGCAACCTGTACTGATGTAGTTACTTACGAAATTCTATGTTGTAACTTACTGACTGATCTACATATATACCACAAGTACTTCATCAAAAGTGCTTAGATAGACAATTTTCGATAAAAATATGATTTCACTCACTTTTTAATGTTAAATAGTCTCTAGCTAAAATATAATTCCCCGTATGACCAAAACGGAAATCTGATAAACTTGCAATGATATCAGCGAAAAATCCCAAATTCTGTGAAAGACTTGGATCTGCAAATACTAAAACATGTAAAAGTCAACTAGACAGGTACAGTATTCAAAAGACAAATAACTCTAGTCTGGTAATATGTTCGTAAGTATTTGGAAAGATTTATATTATATTTGTCACTGTTCAAGGATGAATTCGGATCAAAATTCAGTCCTGAATGTGAACAAAGATCTAATTACAATCACTAAAAATAAACAAAGCACCGGTTAAGCTAACAGTTGTTATAAATCTTTAAAAAAATAAAATTCTTTATTCGCTGTTTGGTGTGACTCAGTTGATAACAGGGAGAGTTTCTTAAAACCTTTGCGCACTGATTATTTGTCCTTGTACTAATTAGATTTACGACCCTCTGTTTAGTCATTGACATTTCTTTTACTACCAATATATGACTCAGAAAACAATCGGAATATCCTGACTCCTACGAATAAACAAGGTTTTCTCAATTTTGTGTTCAGTAAGAAAATTAAGTTAGCTAATGGATTTTTCCAATTCTGTTTAATGTCGCCATAAGCAGAAAATACTTGACTACTCAACGTCGCAAATGAAAAATTACGATCTATACAAAAATGAGTCATGAATAATCCAGAGCCGGATGAATAGAGAGACGATTAATAAACGATAATTTAGGAATCGTAAAAGGTGTGAGTTTTAACAAGTGATTTGACAGTTTTGAAACCAAGCTTACATATGGTTATCAGATTAAAACATTTACCCACGCATCTTAGACTGTGGTAGTAAAAGATCAAACTGCGTACTTTGAGTCACTTAGTTATACATTGGATACAAGATGACCAATATTTTTCTCAATAATCAGATACCGAAACTTGATTACCGCTCAACGTGTACTAAGGCAACGCACTGGCTCAAATAAACATGCAGCTAAGTGTTGTGAAATTTTACCCGCCATATAAAAATTATAAAATGAAAACTAAGCCAAAGGCTTGAAATGATCGTCAAATATAGGATTTCTCAAAACAGAGTATAACTCCGCCAGTAGAACCTTCGGTTCTACTGCCGGTCCCAAGCCCGGGTAAAGGAGGAGGGTTGGACATGGGTTGGCGACCCCATTCCGTCAAAAACTAACTTGTCAAACGAACGCTAACCAAAAAAACAATTCAAAGAAGAATTATGACGTCGCGTGATGGAAGTCGAGTTCCCTCGGAAGTCATGAAACCAATGCCCCTTCTGGCAACCAGAGCAACCATTCTTTTAGGTACATGGAACATTCGAACATTGTTGGAGACTGGAAGACTGTTCAGAATTGCAGCAGAAATCAAAAGACACAACCAGGAGGTGCTTGGAATCTGTGAAACTCATTGAACGCAGGTAGGACAACTAAGACTAGCTTCAGAGGAACTGCTGTTATACTCTGGTCCTGATGAGGAAGATGCTTCACATACACAAGGAGTTGCACTGATGTTGTCCAAAACAAGCACAAAAGGCACTGATAGCATGGACATCTCATGGATACAGGATCATTAAAGCATCCTTCAAAACAAAGAAACAGGACATTACAATGAACGTCATCCAATGTTATGCACCTACCAATGACTACAATGACGACGATAAAGATCAATTCTACAAAAGGCTGCAGTCAATCGTCGACAGATGCTCACCAAAGGATTTGACGGTTCTGATGGGAGACCTGAATGCCAAGGTTGGAATGGACAACACTGGATATGAAGACATCATGGAACGACATGGACTGGGAGAAAGGAACGAAAACGGTGAGAGATTCGCAAACCTATGTGCCTTCAACAAACTGGTCATCGGTGGCACAATATTCCCGCACAAACGCATTCACAAAGCCACATGGATTTCACCGGACCACACTACTCAAAACCAAATCGACCATATCTGTATCAACAAAACGTTCAGAAGGACTATGGAGGATGTGAGAACCAAGAGAGGAGCTGATATAGCCTCAGATCACCACTTGCTGATCGCCAAAGTGAAACTGAAACTAAAGAAGCACTGGACAACAGGACAGACAACATCACAGAAGTTTAATACAACCTTTCTTCGGCATACCGTATAACTCAAAGAAATCAAGATAGCCCTCACCAATTGGTTCCAGGCCTTGCACGATATACTCAATGGAGAGGACGCAACATTGGAGAACAGTTGGAAGGGATCAAGGAGGAAATCACTTCAACATGTCACGAAGTTCTGGGTCACAAGAAGTACCATCACAAGGATTGGATCTCTGTTGGTACTCTTACAAAAATTGAAGAAAGGAGGAACAAGAGGACAGCAATCAATGTCAGCAGCATAGGAGCAGAGAAAGTTAAGGCACAAGCTGAATACACAGAAGCAAACAGGCAAGTGAAGAAGAGCATCAGAACAAACAAACGAAAATATGTGGATGATCTAGCAATGACGGCGGAAAAGGCTGCAAGAGACGGAAACTTCAGACAATTGAACGAAACAACAAAGAAGCTAGCTGGAAACTATCGCAAACCAGAACGACCAGTGAAAAGCAAGGAAGGCAAAGTAATCAGCAACATTGAAGAACAGCGGAGCAGGTGGGTAGAGCACTTTAAGGAACTCTTGAATCGACCAGATCCGCTGAACACACCCAACATCGAAGCAGCATTCACGGACCTCCCAACTAATATTGGCGCACCTACAATTGAGGAGATCAGTATGGCCATCAAACAAATCAAGAGTGGCAAATCAGCAGGACCAGACAACATTCCAGCAGAGGCAATGAAAGCAGATGTGGAAGCAACTGCGAAAATATTTCACATTCTCTTTAAGAAGATTTGGGATGAGGAACAAGTACCCTTCAGATTGGAAAGAAGGATACCTGATCAAAATACCAAAGAAAGGCGATCTGAGCAAGTGTGAGAACTAAAGAGGCATCACTCTTCTTTCAATACCAGGCAAAGTCTTCAACAGAGTATTGTTAAACAGAATGAAGGACTTCGTAGACGCCCAACTTCGAGATCAACAGGCCGGATTTTGTACTGACCAAATTGCTACATTACGGATCATTGTCAAACAATCAATTGAATGGAATTCACCACTCTACATCAACTTCATCGACTACGAGAAAGCATTTGATAGCGTGGATAGGAAAACACTGTGGAGGCTTCTTCGACACTACGGTGTGCCTGAGAAAATAGTTAACATCATACGGAACTCTTATGATGGATCAAACTGCGAAATCGTACACGGAGGACAGCTAACAGACTCTTTCGAGGTAAAGACCGGTGTCAGACAAGGTTGCTTACTCTCACCGTTCCTCTTTTTCTACTGGTAATCGACTGGATTATGAAGACGTCGACATCTGGAGGCAAGCACGGTGTCAACTGGACAGTTAGTACGCAGCTGGACGATCTGGACTTCGCAGATGACCTGGCTCTTCTATCTCACACGCAACAACAAATGCAAGAGAAGATGACTAGTGTAGCAGCGGCCTCTGCAGCAGTAGGTCTCAACATACATAAAGGAAAAAGCAAAATTCTCCGATGCAACACAACATGCACCAACCAAATCACTCTTGATGGAGATGCCTTGGAGGACGTCAACACTTTTACATGTCTGGGCAGCATCATCGACAACCAAGGTGGATCCGATGCACATGTGAGGGCGCGGATTGGCAAAGCGAGGGCTGCATTTCTACAGTTGAAAAATATCTGGAACTCCAAACAACTTTCAACCAAAACCAAAATCAGGATTTTCAATACAAATGTCAAGACAGTTCTACTATATGGAGCGGAAACCTGGAGAACTACGAAAGCCATCATCCAGAAGATACAAGTGTTTATCAACAGTTGTCTACGCAAAATACTTCGGATTTGTTGGCCAGACACCATCAGCAACAACGAACTGTGGGAGAGAACAAATCAGATTCCAGTGGAGGAGGAAATCAGGAAGAAGCGGTGGAAGTGGATAGGACACACACTACGAAAAGCACCTAACTGCGTCACGAGACAAGCCCTCACATGGAACCCCCAAGGCAAAAGGAAAAGAGGAAGGCCAAGGAACACTTTACGCCGAGAAATAGAGAAAGATATGAGAGGAATGAACAAATATTGGACAGAACTGGAGAAGGAAGCCCAGGACAGAGTTGGTTGGAGAAAATTGGTGGGCGGCTTATGCTCCATTGGGGGTAACAGGCGTAAGTAAGTAAGTCAAAGGAGAGTATGGTTATCTTTGTTAGCTAATTAGTGTACAAGGACACTAACGCGGAGCACGAATAAAATTCTACATTGGTATTAGAGGTACTGGCTAGATGTATACCTACTCAATTACAAAGGAAAAAAAGATAAATTGAGTGTTTTAGTGGAAAATGGAGGTTTTGAGTCAAGAATCTTGGGTATTGCAGACCTGGTGGAACATAGTGTAAACCAGTATTTGAGTCGCTTAGTTGAGATAGTACAATCTAATCCGGAAACGGATAAACAATATTTGAAGGGAAAGAACAGTACAAATGAAGTGTGTTACGTAAAACAGATTGTAGTCACAACAAAGGTGAAAAATAGAGTGAAAAATATTACATTTTGCGAGGGTGGAAGTGTATTCTATATGTCGGGAAAGAAGTCGCCATCTAAAAGGGATCAAGGATATATACATAGCCCAACCACGATACTTATTAATATGGGGTCCATAATACGCACCAAGTATTCAAGGTAAACGCATTTTATACATGTGCCAACAAATGAAGACGCACGGACCATATGTATTTGAAGCATAGTCATCTATAGGCCGCTGCTGTTATGTATATATATGACCATTCTGATTACTTTTCTAAAAAGTAATCCAACATATGTGACCTGTGTGACACGGAGAAGTCAATTACACTTTACCATAATCATCCTCAAAAACAACGTAGAACTTTACACGTCACTACATCAGTTCAGGTTGACATGTACCATCAGCACAGAGACATAACTGTCAGTTCAAATCCAAGAGTGATAGTAATAATAGAAGTATTAGCAGTAATGGAGAAGATTAGGGAGCGAAGATATGATTCGAGAAGTATATTTCAGTGAGATAAATATAGAAGGAGAAAGGTAGAGATTGTGAATAATGCAGAAGCTTAGAATTTCATAGAACACAATGATTGGATGCACCTGCGCCATTGCAAATGATTCTGAGCAATGTCATACACGGTCTCAAACCATCGATGACTATCGTCTCGCGGACACAAACCAGGTAGCCATACATGTAAACAACTCGAACAATAAGCACTGATAGACACTTAGAGATGACAATGTGAAAAGTGGTATGAAGAAATATACGCGTGACTGCAAGAATTAAAATTTATTAAAATTTAGATTAACAATAAGTCGAGATATCTACGCTGCTATATACAAACATTTGTCAGAAAATTTGAATTATACCTAAATTAATGATATATATAATAAATAATTCCGATGACTGTTCACCATAAGCTCTTACTCGACCAATGGTGTTCGAGTAGAGAGCCTGTATAAGGTATGTACTTTTTTGGTACACCTTTCAACGACAGACACTGCCACAGAACCTCACGATCCACAGAATCAAATGACGCTTTAAGGTCGAGAAATACTACTATTGTTAGGAGGATATAGATGGAATAAAGCATGAATGCGTCAGATGCGCGCTGATTGGCTAATTTCCTATCCAATCAGCGCCTGATCGATTCTTGGAGAACAGGGTAGAAAATTCCCGTGTTGTTAGCTGCATGCTGATTGGCTAAACCCAATCCGGTCGATCACGTGAATTACTATCCAGAAGCTTCTCATGTAAATACTATAAAGAAACTAACGTTATTTCTTTTTCGCCTTCGGCTTCATATTTCCATTTAACCTTGCTATTTGGAATATAATCTTTTCCTGCACCCCCGTGTTTTTGATTCTTTGGAACTTGTCCAGTGTATTGTGGCCAGAGAATACTAAGCAATAGGAATTAGCAGGGAATTATTTAAGCAAGCGTTACAACTACTGTGGGATGTCTCAACGTATGTCTTTGTTCTAGGACCTGACGTAGTGTGAATATCTGGTCTATACATGCACGTCCATGTCGGAAACCAGACTGGTTCTCTCGAATCTGCTCTTCACGAGCGTTCGTTCAGCTGCGAAGTATTATTGAGGCCAATATATTAGAATCTATATTAGTTAAACTGATTCCTCTGTGATTGTCAGAAGAGGACTTGTGTCCATTCTTATAGACTGGGACAATCGGGGATTGAGACCAGTCATATGGTATTACGCCCGATTGCCGAATTCTCTCAAGATCCCAGTTAATCTAACTGCTAAGACTGGATCACTATCCATGAAAATCTCAGGCGTCAATCTATCAGGACCGGCAACTCTCCCTCGCTTCAGATATACTATCGCTTTCTCACCTTCATAAAGATTCGGGGGACTTATGTCGGTTTCCTATTCAGGATGACTGGAGAGCGTGGGTAACCGAAGAGTGGCTCGAGGCCAGTTGAACTGATCCCTAAAGTGTTCTGCCCATCGGTCCAGTCTCCTGGATCGAGAATGGATAATAGTCCCATCCTTTTCCGAGATAGTTTCACTCACATTCGGGTTCCTAACACCGGTTTTCTTGATGAGTCTGAATAGTTGCCTACTGCTGCCTATCGGTCAAGACTCATTACCTCCAATGTATTCGAAGATACAGTTTATTTTTGCTGTCCTCAGAGTTGAACATCAGATGAACACTTATAGAAACGACAACTAAAAAATTATAAAATCCCGGCGTTTAGTAATCAATGTAAATATAAACAATAATTCCGGGCAGGATATTTCTGGAAGTTTAATTTTCTCTAATTCTACTCCAACAAAATATTTGTGGTTATTTGTACTTGTTAGCTTGTAGGACAACGTTTTTGAGTTTGATGTGATAAATGATGGGTTCAAGCCTCATTTTTACATCAACAATGGATCTGAGTCCAAAACAGAATGAAATGCGCGTCCTGAGTTTCACTGCTAAACATAATTCAAGTATACATAAAATTTTGGCAGATAATTTATTTTGATGGCGTTACAACAGTAAATCTAACTTCTAAGACTGCTACTTCAAATTTATGAGAACTTATCTTCGGTTTCTGACAAGCTTTTATCAATGACTATTAAACAGACGAACCATTATAGTTAGTCCATGAGAAATTATGTTTAAATAGTTTTTGGATATTGTACTGATGAACCGAGTCTGTTCGAAAGTAACGCGGAGCCTGAAATAGATCCATAGATACCTAATGAATAAGGCTGACACAAAAGTGAAGGAGGTGAAATTATAAAACCAATGGTGGTAAAAATAGAACATCGTTTCAAAATAACGAACAAGATCGCGAATCAAAATGCACTACAATGTTAGGATTTATAGTATTCCATTCTGCTCCTTATTTTCAGCTAAGATAACTAACCATGCAACTATGGATAATCCATAATTCAAGATAAACTTTTCCCGCGGCAAAAGATATAGTTACAAGAGACTGTAATATCAGCAGGAAAACTATCAGATAATGTCATCGGTTGTTTCGAAACCAAACAACTGTAAGTAAATATCGCTCAATACACCAATGACTATTAGACATGCATGCTGAAAAAAATAAACGAACGGAATACTCCCATTGCTTTAGAACGTAACAGAACGAATTCATATGCTCAAACGTGAATTCCTTCTAATTTTTTTAATGTATTAACAGTCAAGCTATAGCAGTTGACAAACCTACAAAAACCATGATAGTAATCTGATTAAATAGATTGAAGTAAGTTATATGTATGGCTATTTCATCCACACTGTAGAGTATCAATGTAAGACTAATGCCATGATACCAGTGAACACATAACACCCATGCACATTTCACAAGTTAAATGGTAAGCAAAGATAAGGGTTTTTAAAAAATCCTAAAATATACGGCTTTAATGAATCAACATTTCAAGTACTTTAGAATGACAATCTAAAAACATAGGTATCACACCGTGCATTTACATGTAAACCAGTCTAATTATAAGTGAAACAACTTACCAAGTACATGGCTGTCACACAGAGCACGATATCGCATATCACATAATCGAATCAAACCTCGACTGGTTGAATAGGCGAGTATATTACACTGAACAGGATGAAACCGTGAACAAGTAATCACTTCGTTTAAATCCTGCATATTTGATGGTTTTAAATCAACAATAGCTAGAAAAGAGTAAATCAATACAGTTGATACAGAAGGAACAAAAACAACTAAGAGAATAGGAAAAGCGATGCACTCAGGATTTTCGATAATACGCTTTCCTTCACTACTTACCCAAATTAGTGGACCGTACAATGTCACATGCTAACAAATTCATGCTATATATATAGTGTGGAGTCTAGAAAAGACGTTATTCAAAATATCTGATTATTTTTTGTTTTTGATTTCTAACTACTTAGCCTTTGGATTACACTAGTTCAGTGCTGCTACAACTAAATTAGAACTTTTATTCATACTCAAACTACTTTTTACATTCAACTCGACTAATTTGACTTTCCCCTAATTTTCCACTACGCAATAATTCACGGTGATTTCTGTTCATTCAGCAAGTTAAGATAAAATGCAATTTTACCCGTGTAAATTTGAAATTGTTTTCAGTTTAAATTCAAATGTGAACAAAACTTAGACTTAACGGTGTTCCAAACAATATAAGGCAGGAGTTATCACTGTCTTAAATGTCACAGTAAAAAAACAAGCGAAACTCTTCTGTTCTGAAGTTACTTATAAACAACTCTAACAATAAGCACTGATAGACACTTAGAGATGACAATGTGAAAAGTGGTATGAAGAAATATACGCGTGACTGCAAGAATTAAAATTTATTAAAATTTAGATTAACAATAAGTCAAGATATCTACGCTGCTATATACAAACATTTGTCAGAAAATTTGAATTATACCTAAATTAATGATATATATAATAAACAAGACTGGTTCTTGCACCGTTAAACCGATGAGTTGCATAAAAGAAACAAGTTATTTATTCTATGTGCTATGAAAAGAAGACTAAATCAGTCTGAACATTTGGATGAATAGATTTATTTGGGTTATCTGCATTGTTATTTGCATTTATTATCCTCATTTTAGCAATTTTTCGCAGAAAAGAAAATGTTGTTAGCCATTAAACTCACTCAGATTTACACAATTATTCAACTAATATTTTATCAAAAACAAAAGAGATATTAATTTCATTCTGTTATGAATTTCTGTGATTTAATTAGATCAACCAATCAATCAATCAGTAGCAACGTAAACCTACGTACGTATGTACGTGCGTACATCAGTTCAAACTGACATACCACATTAGCACAGAGATCTAATTGTCAATGCAAATCCCATAGTAGTAGAGGTAGTAAAAGTATTAGAAGTAATCAGAGAGATTAGGGTTCGAAGATGTTATTCAATAAGTATAATTCAGTGAGGTAAATTTAGAAAGAGAAGGATAGAGGTGATGAGGAACTCGGAAGGTTAGGACTTGAGAGAACAAAAAGAATAAATGCACCTGTGCCATTGCAAACGCTTTTGAGCCATGTCATTCAGGGTCTCTAAGCATCGATTATTATCACTTCGCGAACCCCAACAAGGTAGTCGACAACTACCGACATGACTCAGTCCACTTGTCACTGAATTCATGGATTTCTGCCATGTTTTTGGTCTGGTCGCCCCTAGCTCTCTTCCAACCTATTCCTACACCACAACACATTGCTCGACGAGGCAGTCGGTGGTTAGGCATACGCAACACATGTCCCAACCACCTCAACTGAAGTTGCATTACTTCATATATTGACCTGCCATCCTTAACTAGCACCAGTTTCCTAACAACAGCATTGATTACTCTGTTGTCTCATGATACACGAGCAATGCTTCGAAGACACTTATGATCGAAAACAAGCCATCTACAAATATATTCCACTCTCATTGGTCATGTTTCACATCCATAAAGTAGGATGAAGCGAACTGCTGCACAGTACACTCGTCCAATGGTTACCAAAGTGATATCTCGACTGCGTCATAAGTGACGCAGGTTGGCAAAAGCCAATTGAGCCTTCTGTATCTGTGCTGAGATTTCGTCAGTCATCAGGCCATCGGCACTGATTAGACTCCCAAGGTAAGTGAAGCGGTTGACACGCCCGACTACTTCACTCCCTATCACTATTTTAGACAAAATTTCCTACTGTTAAAATCAGTGAAGAGTGGATGTACGCAACGATGTAATATGACCGAGTAATGGCTACTCACATGACCATGTACATGACTTAAGCCGCTGGACGATTAGAAATAAAAGACAAGACCGCTAATCAGGAATCCTTTCTCAAGTAATATGATGAGATGCTTATGTACAGAATATGAACACAAACGTGATAAAATATAATAGGTGGTTGGAGGAAACTAGTTTGTAAGTCATTAATTCACCAATCAATTCGGACTTTACCGTTAGAATCTTTAAGCATCACACTACAGTCCTCGTTCAGGAGGCAAAATTGATTTGCCAACCAATGGAACCGTTCATAAAACTCAAGTATATCTGAACAAAAATATGTTTTAGCAGATATCAGATACCCCGTTCGTTTATTAACTATGCTAGTAACTAAAAAAATAATTTTGCTACCAAAAAAAGTGAAACTAGGCTTCCTGTCCCGAATATTACAAAGCTAGATCATTAACTATTCTTTCAGCTCCCACAATTAGCAACTGGATCTTTGGTTTTAAATCTTGAGTTGGAAAAATGTTCGACTTACAGAAGAACAGTACCTTAAAAAAAACCAATCCAGGTAATATTTAATTCAGAATGGAAGATTAGTAAATTTACGTATAAGTATGAATATGTAGGACTGTTGAGAAAATATTTTCCTTTTAAATAAAGCGTCTATTGATTGAAAGAAATAAATACACTAATCAATATGCAATGAAATAAAATTATTGTTTGAGGAAATAAAAAAAAGTAAAATTAGTGACTGCTCGAAATCCACCTACCCATTACATTGACTTTTGAACCATATTGTCAATATTCAGTTTTACTATTGATGACATTAATATTATTTCAACTTCTTTGCTACATATCTTATTAATTTCACATTATGACAAGTCGAATTGGACTAAATCTATGTTTAAAGTATGGCCTACACTGACTAAAAGATTATATATGATTAAAAAAGTATAGGGAAAACTGATTAACTGTGAGTTCTGAATAATAACTCTAAATATGTAAACGCGATAGGTAAACATACTAAATGATTGACTGGATACATCTAAATGCCAAAGATTAATACGTAAATCATCAGCCGAAAGAAAAGTTTCTTGATCAGAATTTACAGAAACTGCGTTTATGTGATAAGCATGAGCATTGGCGAATGAACGTCGTGGACGTGCTTCGATTGTAAGATGACGAGATTTACGAAATTTCGGAATGCGTAGTTTATCTGGTGTTATTATGTGAGGAACTGGTGGTCCAATCATATTTAGTCGATCTGTACTTTCATCCCATAAACTTGCATTTTCATCGTCACGTATATTAAAATTATAGGCCTCATATTGTTTCTCCGATAATCTCCAAAGTTTAATGGTTTTGTCTAAATAACATAGGAAAAAATTATTAAAATTATTCATATGGAATAAAACAGGAATTGTCTAACGAAGTGTTGCAAAGTAGACGCTGTAGAATAAACAGCCGTTCAGAACAAAATAACTTGAACTATTGAGAAATAAAATCTGCAAGAACAGTATTCAAGTCATTAGTAACACTAAAATCACTGTCTGTTTGTCGTTTTTAATGTGTGATCTTTGACTCAGTTTAAAATAAATAGATTTAAAGTTTACTTGGTTTAAATAGATTGTATACAAAGACAAATTATCCTGAACAATAATGATCAGTTAGAAGTTTCAGAATAGTTAGTGATCACATATTCAACGTTTAAATAATCTCAAACTAGTAAATTACAAATTGATTTGGACACCCACATGAGAATACTTAGTGTTTATAACTGTTTACGAGTATTCAGTGAGCTTATTTTATCAGACTTTATTTTGCTATAATATATTCTTCGACTTAAATTTTCACTGGTTTAACTGTCCGATAGATTGGATATGGCTGCTTCGTTATATTCAACAAACTAACATAGGATTCTATAAAATGAACATGAGTAATAACGGGTAGTAAAAGCAGGGAACGTAATGAATGTGAAACAGTAGAGAGTTGCTCGGAATCAACAGGGAATCAACAGACAGCCAGAAACTAATGAAAGATAGTTTATTACCTGAAGCTATGCAGAGAATAACAGTCGTGTCAGATTAGAGTATATCGACAAATCGAAGTATTCTGGATGACTTCAGAAGGCAATAATATTAAGCTGATTAAATCAAGAATGAATCCAGATGTATCAATGTAACCAAGTGTTGATGAATATCTACCAGGTTCTCCAAAACTGATCTATTTTTTTGGACTTTAGAAAATATTTCTTTACCCAAGCGTTGGTGTCCTCAAACGTGAGTACATACAACGATATATATACACCAACGATAGAGTTAAATGAAAAAATTACATCACTTTATGATTTTCAGCCGAATTAACCAAGTATCTTAAATGAATCAACAAATACTTAACAAGCAATCAACCTATCAATCAATCAATCAATAGCAACCTAGAACTTCGTACGTACATACGGCAGTTCCTGTTGACATACCACATTAGCACGGAGATGTAACCAGCCTAGTTTTCTCTAGTCTGCTCTTCACGAGTACTAATCAGGCGTCCAAGTATAAACGAGGTTAACAATTTAGAAACTTCATTACTTAGACTGATACCCCCGTGATTGTCACAAAAAGACTTGTCCTTTCTTATAGATTGAGACAATCAGTGATTGAGACCACTCGGATGCGATTACGTCCAGTTCCCAGATTCTACCTAAAATCTCAGTCAACCTAGCTGCTAAAACTGCACCACCATCCTTAAATATTCCAGGGGTCAGTCTATCAGGACATGCTGCTCTACCACGCTCTAGATTTCCTAAAGCTTTCTCAACTTCACAAAGACTAGGAGGACGTACGTCGATTTGCCATTCAGGATGACTGGGAATCGTGTTTGACTGAAATGTGGCTGAATGCCAGTTGAACCGATCCCTAAAGTGTTCCGCCCATCGATCCAATCTGCTGGATTGAGAATGAATGATAAAATCATTCTTTCCTGAGATAGTTTCGCGAACAGATGGATTTCTAGTACCGGTTTCCCTAATAAGTCGGAAAAGTTGTCTAGTGTTAACTATCGCCGCTGCCTTTTCCATCTCTCTCGCTTTCGCCACCCACCACTGTTCTCAATCATTGCGTAGGCTTTTTATCAGCCTACGTCTAAGCTGACTCCGCTCTTCATCGCACTCAGAGCCAGGCGGGATGAGTTTTCGAGCATCCATCAGTTCGGTAGATGCTATTGAGATCCAGGGCTTCATCCTAGCCTTATTCTTTACCTTCCTAGCAGATATCGCTGCTGTTTTCACAGCCTTTTAGGTATCATTCCAAGCTGCCCCTGGATTGGAATCACTTACATGGTCGCCTAACTATTTTTCTATTTGTTCCTGAAATATACTTATCGCTATGCTATCATTAGGTAGAACCCTAAGAAGTTTCTTTGCGGTGTCTTTCCTACGTCCAGTAAGCCTCAAACAAATAAGAGCTCGCACTAGGGCATGATCTGAATCAAAACATGTGCCCCACAACGAGCGACAGTCCTCTATCAAACATCTCCATCGGTGACTGATGGCAATGTGATCTAGTTGGGTCCATCGTTGAGACAACTTTGGGGGTCGCCAGGTCAAAAGATGCTTTTCCTTGTGCCCAAAGTTAGTGTTTGCTAAGAATAGGCGGTTATCTCAGCACAGTTGCAACAGACGGTCACCATTATTTGTTCTCTGAGCCGCAACACCATAACATCCAGCCAGGTGTCTTTCATTTTCACTTAGTCTACCTACTTGAGCATTGAAGTCACCAGTCATTATAACTATATCAGATTGTCTAACTTTTTGGAGGAGGTCCGAAAGCTTTCTGTAAAAGTCATCTTTCACCTCGTCTTAACTGCAGTCAGTGGGGGCATAGGCAGATACGACGAAGACGCAACGACGGGTATCCCTATCTTCCCGAGTCCTCACTGTCCCATTCAATCGGACAGCGCACAAGAGACTATCTACTGGGATCCAGTCAAAGAGAGCTAGTTCTGCCCTAGGACTCAATGCTATACCTACGCCAACATTTGACACAATGTTCGTATATTAAATGCTCCAACATGTGGTTTAGAACGGGGTTTCAGGAGACCAGAAATGGTGTTTTTTGAACTCTAATCGTTTGTATTAGTAGGGCAGGGTGATAAAGGAATGTGGGAGGAGTTTGTCGTGGAGATAAGAGAGATATTAGGGGGTGTAGGAAGGACTTGATTTTGACCAATTTGATCTCGTGTGCTATTACGTGTATGAGGTCGGATGTCACTTCCCGGCCGTTCACACCATGGGAAGGTGTTTCTTTCGGAACCTGAAAAGAAAGGTAGATTAATGTTGGTCTAAACGACCAGGGAGCGTGACTGTTTGAGACCGGTCACGCACAGACTTTTTATGAATGGGTTTTTGAGTATTAGCTCCGCTCTTAAAGGCCCTTAGTGGGAACCCTTAACGCCGGAGACGGAAATCCGTGAGGTTAGGTGAAGTGTGACATTTTCAGGGTCGATCTTTTCTAACCCTTCCTTCCTTGTGAGAAGGCAGCATCATTGCAGATGCTGGTTGTCCGAGTGAAACACCTTACTGCTGTCACACCCGTCTAGTCAGCAGTACGAATTTGCCCTCAGACCTAGAGTAGCTGCTTTTAGTCTCATCGTTCCCCAATCGACCTACCTGGTGTGGTAGAACCTTCAGGAACATATGTTCCGGCCAATATCCCGACCGTGGCTGCTACCTTGACGTGGTGGTCGGGCTTGCCTATCGTGATGATCCAACCGAGCTATACTGGCTGGAACATATGTTCCTCAAGGTGCTACCATGCCAGATAGGTCGATTGGAGAACGATGAGACTAACAGCAGCTACCCAAGGTCTGAGGGCGAAGTCGTACTGCTGACTGCAGAGGGGTGTGACAGCAGTAAGGTGTTTCCCTTGGAAAACCAGCATCTGCAGCGATGCTGCCTTCTCACAAGGAAGGAAGGGTTAGAAAAGGTCGGCCCTAAAAATGTCACACCTCCCCTAACTCACGGATTTCCGTCTCCTTGGGTAAGGGTGCCCACTAAGGGCCTTTAAGAACGGAGCTAATCCTCTAAATACCTTTCATAAAAAGGCCGTGCGTGACCGGCCTCAAGCAGTTGTCCCTTGGACTCTGCGATCACGCACCAACACTAATCTATTTTCCTTTTCAGGTTCCTCAAGAAACACCCTTCCACGGTGTGGGCAGCCGGGAAGTGATAACCGCCCTCATACCCGCAACAGCACGCGAGACCAAATTGGTCAAAATCAAATCCTTCCCACACCCCCTAATGTCTCTCTTATCTCCACGACTAACTCTTCTTACATTCATTCATCACATTGCACAGCTAATGCAGACGATACGAGTTCGCGAAAGGTCGTTCCTGGTCTCCTCAAACCTCGCTCTAGACTACATGTTGGAGCATTTAATGTACGGACATTGTGTCAAATAGGGCAACAGGCTTCCTTAGCTATGACTTTAGAATCTCGTTCCATCGATGTATGCTGCGTCTCGGAAACGCGCATACAGGATCCGAGTCACGTCATACACTTGACCACACCATGTCAAAATAAAGAAGCAGCTCGATTTACTCTTCGTGTATCCGGTAGCCCTGATGCTGCTTCCCGGGGTCTTGCTGGCGTAGGCATAGCATTGAGTCGTAGGGCAGAACAATCTCTCCTTGACTGGATCCCAATAGATAGTCGATTGTGCGCTGTCCGACTACACGGGACAGTAAGGACTCGGAAAGATAGGGACAATCGCCGTTGCCTCTTCATCGTATCTGCCTATGCCCCCACTGAATGCAGTTCAGACGAGGTTAAGGATGAGTTTTACAGAAAGCTTTCGGACCTCCTCCAAAAAGCTAGGCGCTCTGATATAGTAATAATGGCTGGTGACTTTAATGCTCAAGTAGGTAGACTAAGTGAGCAGGAGAGACACCTAGGTGGATGTTATGGTGTCGCGGCTCAGAGAACAGACAATGGTGACCGTCTGTTGCAAACATGCTCAGACAACCGCCTATTCTTAGCAAACACTAACTTTAGGCATAAGGTGTTGTAAACGCGGCTACGTAAATCTTCAGTCCTAACGGCGTCCAATTCAAATATCACAAAACGACCCAAAGGCTTTCCCAAATCTCCTAGAAATCAGAACGTAACACCGTGGAAGGAAGATGTTTATTGGGTCGAAAACAGAAGAAGAAGTAGGCAGGGGAAACGGAATTATTAAGTCTTCCAGATAGCGCGTATTTATACACTAAGGTCGAATAAGAAAAAGCATCAACGTCCGTGACATTGACAAATTAGGACGACCAATAGAAAAGAACATTTGAATGACATTGACTGTCCAGATGACCAATAAAAG